AAGAAAGAATGTCATACGATAGATTTTCTTCTGTCATAAAATAAGAGTTGAGCAATCAATTATTATTTACTTTTATATTGATTCTAAGTAAATGCAATATTATAATGAAACATTAAATGAAAATGTTTGTTTTCTATAAACTATCACGAGATTATTTATTCCATGTTTATGATGTGCATGTATTTAGTCATCTGATAGCCTTTAATGCTTATGCACGAATGAAGAGTTCAAATATAACAATACCAGTAGATTAGGAATATGACTAGTTGTATAAAAGGAAATCCGTCTCATCTTAAAACAGGGAGTGCGTTGGTGTATCTCTAGATGTGTGTATGCACATGCTATTAAAGAGAAATAAGCTACTGCTATTATTATTGCGGCTATGTTGTCGCTTAGATTTAGAGTTTGGTTCGCTACTCGCGCTCTTCTACTTTTTTTTTCTGTCAGAATTCATTTCTCTATTTTCTGATCGTCTATGTGGCTTGTTGTCTTTTTCTTTTTCTTTCTCTTTTATTCTGGTGTTTCTTTCTACTTCTTCTTTTATTCGCTTGCATTTAATAGCATCACGCAAATGCTGTTTGTTTGCTGAAAAACTCGATTCTTTTCTTTTTTTTTTCCTTCTTGTCGTTAATACTTCACTACGAATTCTTTATTAGACATAGACAAATTAGTATAGTTATAGATTTTTTCTTTTTTGATTCATATTTCATTTGTTAAAATATCTATAGTCTTGTATATGTTATCATTTTTACATAATCAATTAAATCTAAACAAGTGCTTATAATACATAGGTATGTCATTTTTTTCTCATTTTTTATGTTCTAAATCATTAGCATAACTGACAAAACAAAATGTCAAATAGAATAATTCTTTCTTTCTCATTGAATGACAGGTAAAATTCTATTTCTATTCTGACTTATTCGATAAAAAAATAATAAATAAATAAATAAATAAATAAAAAGACCTGCTAACATTACGATTGTACTTTCTATACCAGACAAAAAAAAGGATTTATATATATATATAATTTATTTCTTCTATCATGACATGTCGTTCGTGTATTAGAATAGGTATATTATCTTTATTATCTATTATTATTAATACTATAAATTTTCAATTTCTAGATGAATATAAGCCATTATTATTTTATATGAATATGACATATAACAAGAATAAACAAACATCTCATGAAAATGTCGATTCTAGTCGAGTTATTATTTTTATTTATTTTCCCAACTAATCATCATTCTCATACTTCATATTTTATTCAAGCTGATTCAGCATCATGTCGTCGACAAGTTGAATGTTTTATATGTGATTCACGTGAAATAGAAGCATGTGAAGATGCAAAAAATTTTTCTCAAGCACAAATTCCAATACGTTTATGCGATGATTATTGTTTAAAAATGTGGACACGTGAAAATGATAGTATAATAGGCGATGATAAAACACATGCATTACGTTATGTACTACGAGATTGTCATAAAATATTTCGTTATCATATAAAAAAAGCTGAAACATGTTATCAACATAAAAAACATCATACGGATTCATTATGTTTATGTAGTTCGGATAGATGTAATTCATCTATGAATGTCCGACTAAAACGAACTTATTATTGGATTTTTTTCATGTTTTTTATTTTTTATTGTATCGATGTTTTTTCTTTGGTTATTATTTAATAGTTCGTTCAAAGTATGTTGTACAAAAAAAAAAGAAGAAGAATAGCACAATTCTAAAACAAAAATGATCTAATCAACTATTGAAAGACGTGCTTAAAGCACCGGATCAAAGAAAAAAAGCACACACACAATGACTATTAATTTGCGTTAGTCCATTGAATGACTTGATTTGCTTGAGCTAGCATATCCAAATCAAGTCCATACACAAGTAAAATCTATTTAAAGTAAAAAGATAAAACGAATAGAAGAATATCTTTAAATATAAAATTAAATACATACTTGATCGGGAATATTATAAAGAAAATTTGTATAAGTTTTTCCATTAACAGTAACACCGGTAACCGGTTTATTTACTCCAAGAACTTTAACAATATCCAAACGCATTGGTGAATCTTTGTAATTTCTTACGAATGCATTTATTGTTAATGTATTCTAGAAAATAAAATAGGAAACGATTAGGATAAAAACAAAAAAAAAAAAAATCGCTTTTTTTTTTTTTTTTCTTTAACGATTCAGAATACAATAATATACAAAAAGAATTTTTCATCAATCAAATATTTCTACAGATACAATTTCCTAGTGAGAATAATATGTGTGAAACTGAAATCAATCATTTAATAATAAATATATTTATTAGATTATATCAATATAATGACATTTTCCAGCTATTTGAGATCTCAATCTTTATATGAATGAGAAAATTATACAAAATAAAATTCATTTTTAATGAACTTTGATAGATATATCATTTTCTCATTCACGTATATTTTATGGAAAAATAATTTTTTAACACTCTATTTTAATAATTCGCTTCAATGAATTCTTTCCTTCCTACGCCTTCCAAAAAAAAAGCTTGAATATAGAACAAATTTTATCATATATTTGAATTCACAACAAAATATTCAGAGTATTAATACTACAAAAAGCAACACATTATTAAAGAAAACATATATTTTTATGTTTGAAATTAAACAAAAAAATCTTTTTTTTTCTTATAAAGAAAAACTAATCGAACTATCTAATTCTCGGATCAACAGAAAAAGGAAGTTTCTTATTTCCGGAAAAAAGAAATAAAGAAGCATATTATCAATAAAATAAGATAATAGACTCAATCGAATAAAGATAATGGATCACTTACAGCATTATCTAATGAAAATTCAAGATAATTATATAATTTTGTTTGAATTGAATCTAAAATTTTCAATATAGTCTATGTCAAAAAAAAAGAAAACAATTAATATCGAATAAACAAACCAATAGAATCCCCATCATCCCAAAAAAGATTTCCACTTGCATTACCCCATTGAGATTGAGCAATAAGTAATATAAATGGATTACCACGTCCCATTATTAAATTAGCTCCAGGTGTTTGCATTGGAATAATAAAACCACCACGTATATGAACATTTATTTTTGATAATGGTGCATCTAAATCGGTAAATAATCCTACGGTTTGTACTTTGACACCGGATGGAAATTCATACCAAACATCGGATGGTATATAGACATGAACAGTATTCGATTCCTAAATGTTAAATATTAAAATTCACTTTTTTTTTTTCTTTAAATTCATTTATTTACTGTTTTTAAATTTGGAGAAACAAGAATAGCACGACCAATTAAAAATTGTTGATCAATATTATAAGTATTTTCATCATTTGGAAATCTGAAAAACAAAAGAAAATTAATTTTTTTTTTTTTTTATAATGAAGAATGTTCATACTCAAAGAAAAGTGGTTGTACTATAGTTTTTGATATCATAGCAGCTTCATGATGAAGAGTATACCAAAATGGAACTAATGAATATCGCATAAGTAATGCTTGTTTCATGATTTGTTGTACTTCCCATGAAAATGATGCAGGATCTTGATCCTATATTTCGAATAAAATATCAAATATATGTTAAAAACCAAAAAAAAAAAACGGGTATTTACTTTTTGTCCTAGAGAATTATGATTTCTCATAAATGGATAAAAAGCACCAAGTTGCATCCATCGTGTACACAATTCTTCCGTTGTATCAAGTCCAAATCCACATATATCAGCACCAACATGTGTAATACCAAACATATTAAAACTGAGAATAGCTATAGAAACAAAAATATTAAAATATATCATAGCTTGCATTTTATTTTTTTAAAATCAAATATATTTTCTTTAGATAAATATTTTCATATAAAACATACCCGGAATAGAAAAGTACATATCATCAAATGTAGCACGATTATCTCCAGTCCAATGAGCAGTAAATTGACCGGAACCAGCAAATGTTGAACGAGATAAAATAAATGATCGTTTCTTTCGAATTGTTTTCATTGCTCTATAAAATTAATTGATATAATTAATCGTTCATTAATAATATAACTTATCATACGTATTCGATGCGATTGCTTCATAATAACCAAACATATTATGTATATTATAATGAGATGAAAGATACTGTTGAGCAGATGGACATAATGTTTTTGAACTAAGACTACCACCAAGTACATCTAGATAAACAATAGTATCAAATATTTATATGAACGAGTTGCAACATTTAGTACAATTGACATTTAAAAAAAAAATGGAAATATCCCGAAATAGTTTTTGGCTAGTAATTACATTGTATTGTTACACAGTTCAATGTAGCTTAATTTAATGATAACTCGTTGAATAGGGCCGAATCATTTTCCAGTTGAATGAGTAGTCACAAACATTTATGATAGACTCAGATTTGTTCAACGAATTCTGTTAGGATTCTAGTGAAGATGTGAAGGTGGGTGTAGGAAACAGAGATTAGATCGATTTGATTCTCAATATTCCAAACTAACTTCGTTTTAAATGTTTGAAAAACTTAAATCGACTTTATGTCTGATAGAGAACTATAGAAACAATAAAATTAAAAATTTCATTGTAAAATCGTTTTATGGGAATGAAAAGTACAGCATAGATCTTCTCATATATCAATTGTACCCAACTGTTGCAATTTACTTATATCTTACTAATACATGATACATACCAGGAACAAATGGTGGATTATCTAATTTATTATCTGTACATCCATCACTTGATCCATCAAGAAAATTCGATGGTTCATTCATGTCCTTAAAGGAAATTATAGAATATAAATAAATAAAAAGCAACATTGTAATACTTACAATCCACATTCCATCAAATGGAACTATATCATGAAAATCTGAAGCTATTTTAGTCCACCATTCTGTAGCATTTGGATTGGTAAAATCAGGAAAAACTGTTACACCAGGCCAAACCTTTAATAATAATATTTTAATCATAGAAATCAAAATTTATTTCTTCTTACTTTTCCACTAATTAAATCTGTTGAATTAAATTTTGTTATAAAAATATTTTTTTTTAATCCATCATCATATGGTGAATATGATCCTGGAGCTTGAACTGAACTAATACCTGGATCAATAATATTTACATAATGTTTTCCATCGGATTGTAATTCACGTACAAGATCTGGTAGACCCTGAAAATTTTTTTCATCATATGTAAAATCAAGATATGATGACATTGCATCAATATCTGTCCATTGAACATCATATGGAAAATCAGCATCATGCATTCTCTATATTATATAGAAGTTAAATAAAAGAGTTTTATTCTCTAACATAAAAACAAAAAGAAATTTTACTTGAATAGTTGCTAATAAATTTTCTATTGTATTATATCCATAACGACAAAGATGAAATCCTAATGACCAAAAAGGTGGCATAATTGGTTTCTAGCAAAACAGAATCAAATAAAATTTAAAAAAAGAATCTTTTATATATATTTTCTTACTCCAATAATATCCCAATATTGTTCAATAACATTTTGTACTGTTGGTCCTGTAAAAATATATAAATCAATAATACCACCAATAGTTGTATAAGTTATTGCAGGTAATGGTTGAAGATCAATATCCATTGCATTTGAATTAAGTAAAAATTGTCCATGAAAATTTGTTTGTCCATTTTTATTTAATTCAAGATTAATATGAAATGGATGAACACCTAAATAGAGAAATAATTTATTGTTCGATTTCGATTAAAATAAAAAAAGAAAACGATATTAACCATAAAGATTTGTATTTTGTACTGGTGGAAAATCACGTGACCAAAATGTTAGTTTTTTCCATTGATCTGTTACATTAATTAACAATCCTTGTCGATGTTCTCCAAGACCATATACTAATGGACTTGATAAACGTGTAGAAAATTTAATAAATTGATCAGCAAATATGAGTGGTGAGACGCTTGAATCAAATCTAGAATAAACAAAAAACAAAAGTCTTTCTTTGTCATAATTCAATAAACCAAATTCTTTCAAGTCTCTGAAGACATCAACTGGCATTGAAAAAGGACATGAGGATTTTTTTACTTAATGCGTCGTCTTTTAAAATAGAAACTTGAAAATATTTTTAAGAAGTGAATTGTTCGTTTTCGATTAGAGTTCACTAAGAACAAAAAAGCTATTATGGCAATTCCTGTAGGATTAAAGTGTGAAACATAATACAACCGGTACTGATAATCATAGGGAGATTATTATTATTATTTATTTTGAAATACAATTCTCTCTTATTATTTACTTGATCCACGAGAAATACAATAAGGAAATAGTACATTTGTTACAACGTGTTGTTACTGATATACGATATGTGATCGAACATCAACATCTGTCACACTCTCTGAAGAGTGATGCAAATTTTCATGCCTATACTTTATCACTGCTGTTTGATTGTGTTTCACAAAAGTAAATTTTACTTTATAAAATTATTCAGCTTCAAATGATAATGTTCCTTATGTTGTTTGTTGGATGCATAATTGCTTCACTATTATAAGCCAATATAGTTGATAACTATACAATGATAATTAATAAGAATATTTTTTTTAGACATATTTGCTATTAATATACTAATAAGTGAAACCGCATAGATACTTTTGATGAGATTCTTTTTCATATTACTTTTATTTCTCAAAGCTGTAAGATCGAACAAATATTCTATTTCTGTACGGGTTACAATTCATGGTGTAACCAGGAAGGAGATTGGGCTCGCCTGCTGATTGAAACCATATTATCTAAACTCTATTATAATTTTCTTCATTAGACAAAGTCAAATTAAGTAAAGCCTTGGCACTGTAAAAGTCCTAGCTATGCAATTAATTATAGTCTATTATATCAATTTTTATTATGATTTCAAGCATCAAAACTGTTTAACTTTAATTAACAAGGGAAGCCTTCCAAGTGATTATGTAGACTCTAATGAACTATGAATACCTTGAAAATAGTTCATGTTCTTAGCTGATTACTGCAGCGATACTACACTTGTATGATATTGTTTAAATGAACATCATGGCTTCTTCTAAAAACACCGGAATAACTAAGTTTAGAATTTCGCCCATTGAAACTTTTCATAGAGACAAGCCTTAACAAGAATAATTAATTATGAAATTACAGATCTTTCGATCTGCTCATATTTGGGCACAGTTTCAAATCGATATTCCTAAGGGAAATTGTAGTATTCAATTAATAAATACCATAGAAGTGTACTGTCTCTGAAACAATAAGCTAAGAGTGTGAACACTTCACGGTGTTCATAGTTCATTGAAGTCTACATAATGCATATAGTCTCAACTCAAAAATGATTAATCAATTCGAGGACTACCGTCGTAAAAGAAACCGGCTGGTAAATTTATGTTGACATTTAAAAAATATTTTGTTTATTAACAAAATACTTTTCTTTTTTTTTATATTTCTCAAATATAAATACTGTAATTCTTTAGAACTTATTTATTAAACCTAAATCTAATACTATTCAATTACGAAATTCGTCTAGATTTTCTCTTAATAAAAAAAAAACAACTTACAATGTAACACCTGTCGATTTTCTTGTAATAAGTATTGAAAATGGTTGTTCATTCACTTTAACATCATAATCTGTCATATTAACTTTCTTTTGAATAACTGGAACTTTAAATGGTACTTCATATCGTTGATAAATTGAATCATATATTCGAATACGAAATCGTTGTTCAGTTTCATATATAAGATCAACAGTTAAATCAATAATATCATGTGGCATATATGTTGTTTCAGATTTATTAATTCGTATTCTTTGTCCAAAATCAGTTTGTTGAATTGTTTGTACAATATATGTTGGAAAATCTTTTGGATAATAACAATAAGGTACATTAACATCACTGAAAGCATTCGAATGTTTTGTAGCTGAATTCGTTTGTTTCATTGGTGCTCTCCAACAACAATGTCTTTCAAGACATTTATCTTGTGTTGAACCACTTTCGGGATAACAATCAAAACGTGCTACATCCAAACTTTGTTCACATTGTTGACAATATGAATACGATGTTAAACAAAATATTAAAATATTTAATATTAATGATAAGTGTGCCATTCAATTGAATACAACACTTATCTACAATAAGAATTCGATATTTGTTCTTTTATAAATATTGAATACAATAGACAAATAAAATAACAAGGAGATTATTCACATACATGAGACAATGACAGACAGAGACAGAAAAACAAAATATTGAGCAGATCGAAACGGAAAATAAAAATATGAGTTTATGGTAAACGAATATTTGCTTTTTCGAAATGTGCTTGTAATTCAGGAAAAAGTTGTAAGAGTACTTCATCGAGAATCATATAAAATAACTAAAAATATATAATTGTAATAGAATTAAAACGTTTAAGTAAATTTACTTGTTTATTAAGTAATGGATCTTGAAAATATCGAAAGATCATTTGTAAACCATTTTGAACATTTGATTTACCAAGTACAATTTTGATTACATCTAAAATTCAATAGAGTGCAAATTATAATATAATCTCTCTGAGGATGAATACTCTTTGAATTTTTCAAAAGTATCCACTATAAGGAAACTAGCCCTTAAAATGAAATTCTGCTTATTGTCATATTTCATTTTATACAAAATTCAATGCTCTAAAATAATTTCGATTTGAAACTCTTCAAGATATCAAGCAAGAATTTCTCCAGAACTAGTATTTTACTTCGTACAGGCAGTGTTAGATGCATGATTTCAATTCACTCAATAATACTGGAAAAGTTGCTTTTTTCGACATTATTATTCGTTGTTTTATTTGAGAAAAAAACTTTTTTACGTGGAACCAATGATTTTTCTTATACTATTGAACTCTACTTTGACAAACTAGCAAACTTGAATTGAGAGCGATCCAGGTAATTCTCGCTCAGTCGGATCCCATCGGATTCAACCAATGGCGTTCGTATCCTGTCGAAAGTCCATGGCCCGGATTCCGACTCTCGGATCTGATTGGATACATGCAAAATCCGATGGGATACTGTCGGATTTCGACGAAATTCGAACTGGAATCCTGTGCAAGGATTGCTTGTCTTGGGTATATACTTTTTGCTAAATAATGGATGTCGCAAAAGTTCTTGGACAAATATCAGACTTTGTTGTATTTAGCATGAAAGCGACAGAAAGTTGATTCGTGTTTTTGTTAGATAGAGCGTGGCTTCTATTCTGAAAGGATATGTTTCACAGATTTTTATTCATACACTAGTAGCAAAACCAACTCGGTTTTCCAAAATTGCTAAAAAATATGCTGTGAATAGTTGCACTTTTGCGTTTGATTTTTTCAAAAGAGAGTTTAATACCTTGCCTTAGATGTAAAAATTGTAGACTACTTTTTACGCGTTATGTACAAAATGATATAAGTTTGTAGCATACATACAAATCATCGATAAGTTTGAGCACTCTTTGAAGAAACTGAATTGCGGTAAAACAAAATCTGTTTGAACTGAAATTTTTTATCTAAATAGTGGCCGAACAGTTATACACTATAGAAGTTATTTTTTGCTCACAACTACATCTGTTGACTGTTAAAAACTTTTACAGCATGTGTTTTATAGGGTTTATAAAAACGAAAATCGAGTTGGTTTTGCTACTAGTGTTTGAATAAAAGTCTGTGAAACATGTCCTTTCAGAGTAGAAGCCACGCTCTATCTAACAACAGACGAATCAACTTTCTGCCGCTTTCAGGCTAAATACAACAGAGTCTGCTTTTTTTCCAAGAACTTTTGCAACACCCGTTATGTGCACTAGATGGAAAACCTTAAAGGTAGACTGTATATTTTTTTTGACAAACTTCACTGAAAAACATGATTCCTTTCATAATATAGATAGAAAATGATAAGTCAATTCATATATATATATATTATATTCATTCTTTAGTCTTACAAAAAGAAGTGTTTTGAATACTTACTAGGTAAAAATTCTTCAGCTGCTGCAACAACATCATCAAAATTGACTAAATCTGTTGGACTGAAATACAATCATAACAAAATTATTCTTTAAAATTTATACTTTTGTTTTCCTCTTTACCCTTTATCTTCTGCATCATTTGGAAAAACTACATCTACCGAAAACAAAAAAAATTCATATTTAAATTAAAATCTATATATGTATACCTCGAAGAGCATGAATTACATCAATAATATTCTCTTCATCATTAATAATATCATCTACACTATCATCAATAAATTGTGTAAAGAATGTATCAAATGAATTTTTTAATGGTATACGAAGTAAATCTAATAGATAAATTAATAAAGGTGATGCAGAAAAGACTTGTTTAGCTACAAATATTTAAAAAAGACAATGATCAATCGATGAAAACCATTAGATCAATATGATAAATTCATACCAACAACAATTAAATGATCATAAGCACTATCAAGTTCATGAGACATTGATTTTTCTTCTATTGTAAATTCTTCTATAGGATCTATTATATTTGCATTATTTCCATAGATTGTATTGTTAAGCTAGAAAATATAAATTATTTAATCAATTGAATAAAAATTTTATTTATTACTTTTTCTTCGATAATATCATTAAAAACTGGAATTGGTTGTGTTGCTTTTGGTTTAACTGGTTCAGCATAATTTATTAATGATACAAGAAATGGATCCAGATATTGACCTTTCTATAAAAAACAAAAAATAAAATTTTTATTTTTTTTTACTTATAATCATATTAGCTATTGAACCTCAGTACGTAATCGACGTGGTACAACTCTGAACATTTTTGCTAAAAGAAAATTTTCAATAATTTCATATGAAAAAAAAACGAATGAAGAATTTATTGAATATACCTAACACATCTTCACCATTTGGTAAAGTAAAATCATCCGGTTGTGTAAGAAAATTGTATAATAATTCACTGTTACGTAATGTTGGTTTAGATAATAAATGCTAAATAATTCAAATGGAAAATTATTTATTATTTTATAAGTTCTTTTCAAGAATCAGAAAAATCTATAAAAATTCAAATGTACGCAAAAGTATCAGATCTCAGTACTCTCTATAGTTATCCTGATTTTTCTTCATTTTAAAAAAGTTGTCTCAAGTAAATGCTGTCTCTAATCTTCTATCGTTTATTATTGGTGCAGCGCTGCTGCCACCGCAATGGTCTGAGCGACACATTTTTAAAATCATCAGACTGCGGGGATATTTTTCGACAGCACACCTGGTAGTGACGAAGCCCATCCTCAGAAACTTTTGAGTTTCCACAGGAAAATTTTTGAAGCATGCATGTTATTCGCTAATGAAAGCTCACAGGGTCGTAAAAGGGAACTGAGCCCCTCTCAACCTCCTCCAGCCCAAAATCCTGACTTCGCCACTAACATCAGGTCATATGTCTCATCAGTTGTTTTGCCATCATGTCGAAGAAAAAACGATTTTCTCAACTTGATACTTCTGATGTATTTCAATTTTTGGAATGATCAGCACGAAAGCGATAAACACGAGAATGATCAATACAGAAAAATTAAGTATGAAGAGGAAAATGAAGGTATAGAAGTGTGAGTGTGAATAAGAATAAAGAGAAGATTAACATCCACACTCGATGAACTCTATCGAACTATACCAAAAAAAAAACAATTTTTGCTCAAAATTCGAATTGTCAGTATATCTAACATAAACTTACTCTTAAAAAATGTTCAAACTCTTTTTTAATTGATTCCATAAATTCTCGATTTCGAGCAAATGTTGTCGATCGTTTTGGTGGTAAACGTGCATCAGAAAAAACTCCATGAAAACGTATTAATTTTTGTTCTAATAAATAAAAATCTTGATAACGTCTAAATAAGACAAAATTATAATCCATTTTAAATATTTTTTTTTTTTTCAAAATTTACCTTAATACAAACCAATGATTTCTTTCATCATCATTATTTAATGAATTTTCTAAAACATTAAACAATTTTTTTTTTTGTCTTACTAAAATAAAAGAATATGTACCACTATTAGCATCTAATCGTCGTGCTTCAATTATGAATGCAAAATATTTTGTATTGGAATTCATATTATCACGTAATTCATCAATGCCACAAATATGAATACGCCATGTATTTAAATCTCTTTCATCAATAGACTAAATGAAAACAATAGAATATAAGAATGAATAGAAAAATAATTGAAAATAACATACACTATTACTGCTAATACTTGTTGTATCTTCTGGATATCTTCGATTTACTTCATCTTTTTCTTCCAATTCTATTATAAACATAATTATATAAATGTTATAGATTATAGTAAGTTAAATTTTTATGTTTTGTTCACTTCTATGCCTTTGATATTAGTGTTGATATACTTCAGAGATAAGATATATTTAAGCATAACTGTTATACATAGAATAACTTTTGTCTCGAATAAATAGTCTTTTCATGAACATTAAAAGTCTTGAATACAAACACATATATTTTTCTTCAATTTGAACAAAGAAATGCTTTATGTGTAGGAAGTAGATTTGTAAACAAAATTCTAAAGTATGATCATAAAATAGAGCTTAAAAATTCTACAACAACGGATATAATGCTTTACTAGTATTATTTAATAGAAGCAATATCTGTAAAACATCTATCAACATTACATGTAAGATGAGGCGTGGTGAAAACGAGCTTCAACAAAGTTTCTTAAGACCTGAAAACTATCGTATCTGATTTTTTTAGAAAAAAAACCAAAAATATGTTGTGTTCAATCTTTTTCCACCATGTTACATGATGATCTACAAACATCATAGGAGTACTTACAGCGACCAACCCGTACTGGTTGTTTGAAAAGTCTTTCTGAAACAAAAAGTAGCATTCAAGCTGTTCTACTTATTTCTAAACGATTACGAAGAACGAATATGACCTAAGTATTTTTCGCACGAGTTTTTATGATAAGAAAGTAAAAAAAGTCTCTTCAAATTGGCTGACATATCTTATCTTGTCGAGCTCTATAAATTGTATTTACAGTAGAAAACAAAATAAACATTCCTTATCTTATTCTTGTAAAAATATGGGTTGCGCAACGTCATGATATAGACTTGGGTTGAATCTAGGGCAAGTTTGAGCAATTTATATTTTCACCATAAGAAACCTCTTTCTTATTTACTGTGAAGATAGCTCATCGAGCTCTAACAAGATAAGATATGCTACTGTCAATTGTGTTTGTAGGCGATTCGAAATAATTCAAAGGTTTTAGTTACATATTCTGTGAAGTTCACTGGACTTTTCCACAAAATTATACGCATATCTGAATCGAATCGGAACATAGGCTGATATCGTTTTAGATTTTGCCTAATCTTCTATTATCTTATTTGATTGTTTCTAAGAAAATTTTTCGAAATCAACATTGTCTGTACAATTGGAGATTTATTTTTATGAAATTTAATAGAACTTTCCTACACATATGTCAAGACTTCTTTGATTAGTTACGAGTAAAATACAACTCGAAATGTCCAAATCCACGACTTTCCATTGGCAAAATGATAGGAACTTGACAGCAGAAATCTAATTTCTATTATTTTTCGGCTTGTATTTCTTGTTGTAGGTGAGAGCATTCAATCAATAATTATCACAAAAAGATCCTTCTTATAAACTCAGTTTACTTGTCATTCTGTTAGATGCATTGCATTGAAAATTGAATAATCTAAACGAATTATACAAACTGATACATCTCTTAACTCGAATAAACCGAAGGAAGGCTTATATTAAGAAAATTATAATATAATTTTGCTGAGATAAAGATGAAATCATTTTTTGTTTTCTTCACATTCTCTTCTAATGTTTAGAATTTATCTATATTCCAACTTGGATTAATATAAAAAATAGTTCATTTTTCATTTGTATTGCCATTCTTACCTTTGTATGATGTTGTTGTATAATGTCTTGATACATTGGATTTTTTTATATTTCCATTAGAATTTCTAAATATCAAAAAAAAATCACTTCGATACGTTAAATATAATATAAGATACAAAAGACAAACTAGACATATTTACAAACAAATACAAATATGTAATTAATCAAACCTGATATCTTCCATATGATTGAAATCTAATGTATTATCATCCAAACTACGATGATTATATTAAATATTAGTACTCGGAAAAAAAAAATTTAACTAGAATGAAAAAAAAAACATTAACTAACTTTTGTTCAATAATTTTATAATCTGGTGAATCCATTCTTCTACCACACATATAAAGAAAATGTTCATCACTTGTTAAAAAACATCGTTGATATTTTTCTTCAACTAATTCATAAATTTTACAATGAAATTTTGATAATAATGAAAATGTATGTTGCATATCAAATTTTTCATTTAATTTATCTGACTTATTTTCATCATTATCATCATTAACACATTGTTCTAAATGATTATATATTAATAATTTAATATCATCAATTAATGTATCATTTATATCATATAAATTACAAATACTAACATAACCATCAGAATTTTTTCTATTAAGATAACGTTCATCAATATGTTTTAAACGTCGATATATTTTTTTTCGTACTAATATATTTGATGCTGATGGTATATCATTTAATAAATCTGATAATGTCATATAAATACTTAATAAACCAATTGAACCATAACGATCAAGTACACGACTAAATTGACTTAATAATTCTTTTTCATACATAACATCAGTTAATTGTAAACTTAATTTATTTTTATGTATAGGTCCATTCATTGTAGAAAAATGTGTTAATAATTCAACAGATGAATCTGTTGAATTTGAAATTATATTTAATATTGAATTACGTCGTTGTATAGCAGTTATAAAATAAAGATGAAATAAACGATTTAATGTATTAGGTTGACATATAGCATCAATACCATCAATAAGAATTTGACATGCAATTAATTCACTTAAAAAATGACGAGAACCTTTACATTCATAGATAAATTTTGGTGTTATTATTGGCATTAAATCAAGTATAAGACGTTTTAAATATTTTAATTCAGATTGACGATTATACATTGTTATATGAAGATCATTTTTAAAAATTTTTTTCAGAAATTCAATTGAACATTGAGATTCATTAGGAGATTGAATTTTAATTGTTTGAATATAACGATCATATGTTTGAAATATTAATGGAAGAAGACGTTCAAGAACGAATGCATTGATATCAACCTTTAAAAATTAAAAAAAAATAATTTTATATCAATAGAATACAAATTAAATAATCGTTTCGAGCAGATATATATATTCAAACAACAACAACAAAAAAAAAAACAACGTTTTGGTTATATGATTAGACTTACATATTTTCTTTTTGTTTAATCTTATGATTCATTCATATATATATTTTTTATTTTGTTGATTAATTAGTTTAATGCCTGATATAAGTTTTTTTTTTTTATTAATTTCGTTTATTTATGATTGAACAACATCTAACAGAATAAACATCAACTGTGTTTTACAAAATTTAAACAGATTACCATGATTCAATTAAGAATCTCTTGAGTAAATTAATATCAAATTTCTACTTCTATGAAAAAATTTAATATTAAATCAGCATTTTTATGAGATAATTCGAGTTAAAACAAAAAAACAAATCGAATTTTTCAACTTAGAAATATTAACGCTTCAATCACTATTCTTTCATATACAAGAGTATCCCTTCAGTTAATAAAAAAAAAAAAAGAAGTTTTTATTAACGAAATTTATGTTATTAGATAGAGTCTATTGAGATTAGACAAAATTTTTAATGATTCATGTACTTGCTCTTGTCTTTTTTTTGAGTTATTATCATATGATTGAGTTTCTCGTCTAGAACAGGATATTTCATTAAAAAATTTAATGTCTACATTTCAACCTTGAATTGATTTTATGAATCCGATCATAGAATGAAAGTTTCAGCTAGAATCAATGTTTTCTTCCTAAGATATTGAATCCTCCACATCTGTATATATTTTCAAAAAGATTTAGAAAAATTTCTTTTTTTCTTGCAATTGCCAAAATTAACTCTGAGGTTCATTCATGAAAATATTCCTCTATGAAATTCGACAGAATTTAATTTCCTATTATAATATCAATTCATCGAGCAAAAAAACCTAAAACAAACAGTCACCATATGAAATAATATTTAAATCTTACATTTTGTATACGACGAATAACTGTTGCCAAAAAAAAACGAAAGACATGTTTTGCTTCATAAACCACACTATCGTCATGAGTAATTTGTCTAAAATATAATAATTATTATTATTTTGTTTTTTTTTGTTCAATCTAATGAATAGTTACTTACGATAACCATGGATATACATGATCTCTGAGACATAAACAACAAAACTAAATAGAAAAGAGTAAGATTTAGAGAATATTTAATAATAGAAAAGAAAAATTTTACTTCATCAATTGCTGTATCAATACGTTTTGATAGCATTAAATGAATCCATGGATTTTTTTGCATATAATGACTATTTGCACTATATATATATATATTCAAAAGAAACTATTATAAAAAAAACAAGCATAGATTCTAAAAAATATAATAGATTTACATCTGTTTTCTTATCAGTTCTTTTTCTAAATCCTACAGAAAAATGAAGAAGATATAAAAATATAAAATAAAAAAATCAATTAATTGTTTATAAAATACTTTTGTCGGTTCAAAAAAAATAAGTAAATTTGGCCAATATTTTGGAGACTTATTTGGATTATTTATTGAGAGTCTAAAATGAAAAAAAAAATTTTTAATTAATAAAAAAAGAAAAAAAAAATTTAATAATTTTCTTATACATACACATAATAATCAGTTAATTTATAACTGAATATAATTAATAGAATAAAGATAATCAACTGAATTTTTCTATATTACATAAAATAAAATAATCAAAAGTTAATATTTTATTTTGATTTTTAAAAGAAATATACCCAAAAACGAATAGAATTATCAGTAGAAAAATAGTCAAACATATACAAAGAAGAGTTCGCTGGCCAATATCAGTTGAAAGCATATTATTTTTACTCATCTAAAATATATTGAATCAAAATTCTTTCTTTATAATTTATTCAAAAAAATCAAGTAAATAATTTATTTCTCTCATGCATTGAATCAGCCTCAATATGAAAAAGCATTTTTCACTTCTTGTCAGATTTTCGTTGATTTTTTTTTTCTTTTTCAAGCAAATACAATTATCCCTTAAAATCGTTCTGTATACAATAAACGATTAACAAATAGTAATATTATGTTAGGTTTCATAGACTCACATGACTTACATTTCAAATTCCTTTTTCTCATTCATTAGAAGTCAAATATCGATCTCGGGTCATATACTTCTTGGCCGTTTGTTAGATCACAAAAATTACTTTTTACATGTTTGTTTTTAGTGTAGTCATCGCGTAAGTCACGAATAGTAATGTCACACAAATTTTATGCTTATGTTCTTTCTTCATTCTCATGTTGAATAAATATAACTGTTCTTTTCCTCTGTATAACGTTCCTCTATAAAAAAAACAAGAAATAAGATTTGAAAAATATTATATTTCAATTTACTCTGTTATTTAGCATACAAAAAAAAACACATTTACTTATCGTCAAAGTCGAAGAAAAAAGACACAGAGGTGATGGATATTTATTATGCTATAGATTGGAATGTAACCCCCAAAAGCAAAACAACAAAATAAAATCAATTCAAAGAAGAAGATGAAGATCTGCGAGTTTAAAATAAAATCATCAAAATACAAAAAGTATGTTACATTGGTTTTTTTTTTGATTATATACATTCGGCCGTTTTTTTTTTGATCGTAAGATAACAGATATTATTAAAAAAGAAAAATAATTATTTAATTAAAATATAACTAAAATCAAAAGAAAAAAAGAAACAAAAAATTTTTCCAGATTAGCAGCAAAAAGACAAACAAAAAAAATCGAATCAAAATGTTATTCATTTAATCATATACACATTTTTTGTTTGTTTTTTTTACAGATAAGTACTATCTTTTTGAGTTTTTCTTGGTGGGTCTTGTATATTAAAACGAATTTGTTGTTCAGATATTGGTTCATCAGGAATAGTTGATGCACGTTTTTTTAAAAAATTATCAAATGCAGCTGTCGTTCCATCGTCTTGTTGCAATGGTTCATCATTATCAGGATCCTATTTAAATAAAAAGATTTTTGATAGACTTCTTATTTTTTTTGTTTGTTTTTATATTCTATCATACATCGCCTTGAATTTTTAACCAATGTTCAACTTCTCTGACATCACGTTCGGGATCCTAAATATAAAAGAAAATATTTCGATGATAATCAATAACTGATAATTCCACAAAAACATTTTCATAAAATTTTAAACTTAAAAAGAAATTTCAATATTTTATAATGAAGAAAATGTATATGAAAGTTCCATAATTGACTAAAAATGAATAAAAAACAATCAGTGATTAATTTTTTTTTTCATATGAGTTTGAGGTGAATTTCTTTTTTTTTTTTTTATAACACTAAGTTTGTTGAATCTACATGATCTGAGATAGAGCTATTAACGTAACGAGGAGTATTCAATAGAGGCCATCGGGACGAAAATCTTTCTCATCCGAACTATTCTTCTAATTTCAACTAAACTTTTTAGTCTTATAAAGCAAATTCTCCAATCGACTATATACATCCGAGTCTGCACTATGTATGAATATTCTAAAAAGAGTTCATGCTCTGAGATTATTATTGCGAAGAATATTGCACTTTTTTAAATGTATGCCGTAACCATTCTCAGAAAAAATCTGATCGTTGAATTTCGACTGGTAACTTCGTACAGAGATATGTCTCAATAACAATAACTTTTTGTGAATGTTTCAGGTTCTAGTGCTGTTCCTATCCTAAGATACGATGTGCTTACTTCAAGATAGAAGCAAATTAAAAGATATGATATATTGATCACGGAATTTGTTTGAAAACTAATGTAAAAATGTAGCATCTTAACAGTTTGAACTCTTTTTAGGGTATACATAGCTCTTTTAGATCTACATGATGCACATGACCCTGACTCGAAAGTGATTAACTAATTGAGAGACTTTTCTCATATGTCGAATAGTCACTTCGATTTCTGCTACTAGCATATCCTACATATTTCTCAGACAATCCTGAAGATGATCTTATAATAATTAAGTCATAAGTGGTTGTTAATATTAGAGTATGACCCGTTGAATAGGCTGCGGGACCAACTTCACAGACTCTATTATTCTACGATTGAGGAATAAAAAGTTCTTTTCGATTTTCTCATAGTTCTGCGATTAATAAAGTTAAAAGAGCAGATAGTCCATGATGTTTTTCACTTATATATCGAAACCTATTGTCAAAAAATTGCACTACTTTAGATATTATAAATGATAGAACTGATGTTTAATGCTCGTTCCGTCAAGAAATCATCATAAGCGTTTTATTATAGGTTTTTATTAGTTTAAGAATCTTTCTTTCTCAATTTTTGGACTTCAGGTTTTTTTGTGTTTCTTGAAAAAGTTGAATCGCCTAGAAAAAAGAAAGTTAATTTCACTATAATTTTCTTACTTGATAATTCGTAGCAGCTCGAGTTGTTGTTGAAGCTCTAAAAGATCCACATATTTATTAAAAAAAGAAGAAGAATATTCAACATCCACAATAGATTTCATTGAAAATGCAACTAAGAATTTAGCAATAAAGAGCAAATTTAAGCTTACGAATTCATATTCATATATTTTCTTGAAGACGAAGAAGTCGAGACATAATTTTCAACGTAACAATAAAAGAAAAATCTCCCTTTTAATAACTTACGTTGATTGCGGTTGAGTATTTCTTGGTACAACACCCTGTGATGTTGGATTAATACCTAGAAAAAAAGAAAACAACATCAAACAGAATTGATTAAATTCACGAAAAAACAAAAATGACACCAACGCATATTTTGAAAATTATTTATTGGTTCATCCTCAAATGTAATTAATGCTGGTACATTATCAGTATCACGCGATGATGATAATGTCTGAAAAAATTTCATTGAAGATAAAAAAAAACAAAACAACTAGATATGTATATTTATACTTTATTTGTTGGTGATTGTGACATTGAATTTGTTCGAGTTGGTGATGTTCCCGTTCGATTTAATATTGGCATTTGTGATGAACCAAAACGTCTATTACGTTCTTGCATATAATTTTCAAATTGTTTAAATGCATTATTAAATTGATCATTATATCGTAAAAGATCGACTAATTTTTAATCAAAGAAAAAATGAATTATTTCAATTAGATTAATTGATTTTACGTTACCTGTTATATCGTCAATAGTTATTTGAGATAATAAATCAATAACACGAGCTTGCATTTGTTTGCATGTATTGTGTAATTCCTAATGAAATTCATATTTTAGAATTTATTTGATAAAAATGATTGTCAACGGAAGATCTCCGATTTCGGATAAATAGAGACGCTGCGATAGAAATAATAATGAGGAAAAAAAACGAGTTTTGAAATAGTATGAGATCGTGTTCGGATTTTTTTTTCTCGTTAATGATTATTGCATCTTTTGTAATTGCAATATAATTCTAATTTTATACATATAATTTATTATATGAATAAAATTCAGCTTTGAATCATGATTCATTTCTAAGAAAATTATAGTCATTTTTTTAAGTACATTTTATGATATTAGAAAATGCATGCTAGAAAAATATTTAAACACAAAAAAAAAAATAATTATATTGTTTTAAATATGCGAAAAAACATATTCAACTATTGAACATTGTTCGAATTCTGTTTTTGACTGTGAGTCGAACTCAAGGAAACTCAGAAACATCGTAAAAGAATTAGGTTCCATGCGATACTCAACTAGAATTATGATCGTTTAATAGAACTTCAGCTCTTGGATCATCTATTCATGAAAAACTCAATGATGAGATCTTCATGTGAATTTTTGTCAATAGATAAATTTCATGATTCTTGGAGTATTCTTAAAATTTCAGATGAGCAATGGATCCAGAGACCGAAAAATCCATTAAAACAATCATAACTCGGATTATGTAATGCATGAACTCGAATCCATTTAGAATTTTCTTAGTATCAATGAATTCTACTCAAAATTAAAAAATGTATTCGAACTGTATCCGACAATTGCATATGTTTCCTTGTAAGTCGATAAGATTTTTATAATCTACATTTCAACATTAGTTACAGTTTTTCATACTCTTCCAAACAGAGCTGTGTGTAAAATAACAAGGACCGTACAAGTTGTCGCGATAATTTATTCTATAGAAAAGTATTGATACAGCTTAAACAACGTTTTAACGGTTTATTACATACACTTATCAAAATAAATGAAATTCCATGTGCATACTTTCTCCTGTCGTGCAAAAATGTGAGTTATACTAACCATCTGGTCAAAGCATTTATTATACAAATAATATTAAAATTTAATAGAAATGTAAATTCTTATGAAATATTCTTATACGGAATAGCTTACTCGATTTCAAATCGTTTTCTTTTTTCTTACTGTTCATAGGCCGCAGAACACGATTCTTATGTAGACTTAACTCTACTTCGGATTTAGCTATCATAAGCTCAAGTATTCGTTTCTTATTTCATCGAATTATCAAAATTTTTACACAAATATCAAATTTTTTCACCGTCTTCAACTTCTATTAGTAACATTTTTGTACTGTAGCGTCAATTACAAAATATTCGATTGTGTATGAATGAATGTTTGATCCTACATTGCTAATGACTTGAAACAGTAATCCTTTTAAAAAAAGTATATCGAAAACTCAAATTAGACAAAGTAAAAGTTGCCATTTGAGTTTCTACTTGTTAAGCATACATGTTTAAGAAATATTTTCAGAAAAGTGAGCAAACCTACAATATAATTTCTTTTTTTTTTGTATATAAACACTTCTGCTTCACCTATATTTCTAATTTTTAGTAAAGTAGATCGAAAGCTCTTCTTTTGACAATGGAAAAAAAAGTATATTTGCGTGTTTCTCTAAGTGAACACCAGTTGCAAAGTTTTTCTGAATCGCACAAACTTTCTAAACTAAAGCTCATCAAGTTCAAGAATTTCTAGATCTGGATTCAGTGGACTCTACTATAGAATTCTAAATATAAGTTGAAAATAATAAACGATAGCTGCATTTCATCTGGATAGCATAAAAAGATTCGGAATGTCATTTCTTTTCTACATTCTTGACTTCCTAGTGATGATTTTATTAAGATTAACGAGCCTACTCAAAATTCAAAACATACCGCTGCCTATGCAGCTGTTGTCTTTTTTTTCTCTATTCTCAGATGAGATCATTATGTTAGTCTATTGAATTGATACTAAACAAGTATTCTTTTTTCTCTCTTTCTTTTCTGTTGTCCTTGATGGTATGCATCTCATTAAAAAGTTTTAAATGAACTACAAAAAAAAGAAATTTTTTTACCATTAATAGTTCGAAATCTTGTGGATTTTCGTCACTCGGTTGTAATGTTATAAGCATTTCACCAAATACTTCAGCATTTGTTTGTACAATATCTAATTCACTACGTAATTTTGCTATTTGTTCAGCTGACATTGACTGTGCACCTGTTTGATTGTTTGAAACGGAATGTGAAAAATCATTTGATGCTGACCGATTCTATTAACAAAATCAAATCATTGTATAATTAATTTTCAAACAAATAAATCCTTACTTGTCCACCCATTGTTCCATAACTTTGTTGAGGCTAGAAAATAAATTATTAATAAAATTTATTCAAATAAATGAATCTTACCATAGAACGTGTACTTTGTAAAGGTCGTTCGATAGTTCGCTAAATATTCACAAAATTAAAATATTTTTTATTTTATTAAAATTAAAATTTACTGTAGGTGTTAAAGATGCTTTAATAATATCTTCTGGTTCATGTGATGGAAATTGTAAACCATGTTGTACACATTCACTATAAAAATGTTGGACATTTTTTAAATCTGGATCGTTACGAAAAGCTAATGCCCAGTTCTGAAAAAGAAAAAAAAAAGAATAGATTCTCTTATCTATTTTCTGTTTCATAATTTCAAATTTCTTACTTGAATCATACTAAGAACTCTTTCTTGTATTGCTAGAGGTGGATTATTTTTTGGTCCAATAACTCCTTTAAGTTCTTTTAAAAAATCTTTATGTGCAATTTGTAAATGAAATATTTTTCCACAATTTTTTGTTAAGGCTTCTAATAACTAAATGAAAACATAAAGAGTTTTTATTTTATTTTATAATATCAATAGAATAATATACAGAAAGAATTAATCCAACAGTATGCCATCCTTGTTGTAATGGATTTATTTGTAAACGTTTTCGTATGACTTTCATTGCTTCTTTTGCACTATTTATAATAAATATATATGAAAATAAAATAACATTAAGGAAAATCTACCTTTCTTCATGACTATTAACATAATCACAAATTTTCATTATTAAACTCCAATCTTCACTTGCTTGACTACTATCAGTAGCTCTTTCAATAGCTTGTTGAAGACCTGTTGGATGTGTACTGCTGCGGAAGATATTCGTCATGTTTAATCTATCAAAATGAGTTAAACAGTTATTTGATCTATTCAATCAAATGTATTAACATAGCAAATAATTCAAACGCCCTAACAATATCCCACAAGTAGTGGGTGCAATAATAAGAACGCGAAGAAAAAAAAAAAGAAGAAATAAGAAAAAAAAGGCAAAGGACATCCTCGTCATAAAAAGAAAAACGAGATGCCAATACAGGAAATCAACGTAGGATCTACGAATTAAAAGGAGCAATAAAATGACTATAAATATTATAACAAGAATGATCGAAGAAAAAAAAAACAGAAAAAAAGAAACATATGACATAGAAAAATAAGAAAGAAACACTGAAGCGGATCATAAGGAAGCACTTATAAGTAGTATAGGATTGGTCAACTACTTTAAACCAATTAAATAAATAAAATGAAGACGCTAGTTTTCGATAAGTTATATTGAATAAACAAATTAGTAAATGATAATAATATTTATGATAAAACTATATTTTCTATTAGAATCGGACTGATTTCAATCAAGTTCTCTAATCATATAACATTTATTTAAAGTTCGTTTGTTTCTACTTTAAAAAAAAGTATTTGCATATCAATCATCATAGCGTAGAACAAGCAAAACATCTTGTATAAATTATTTAATGTCATTTGAGTAAAGTCTTGTTTTGTTTTTTTTACAGAGAATGCATCTTATCGTACAATCTAAATGTATATATTACTTTAGAATTAAAATTCTTGTGTCAATAAGAAAGCAAATATTTTTTTTTCACTATTTGTAGAGAGTATTAGTTTTTTATTTTGTTGCAATTCTGCACTTCCTAGAATGTTCATAGAAGAATACAAATAGTAATCAACGTTCTTGGACGTATTCAGTATAGATTTTTTTTATCAGTCAGGCGAAATTCTTGTGGCAAGAAAAGAGAAAGAAATCTTGTTCAATCGTTAAGACAAACTCTGCGAGATGTCTTTGTGATCATGTATCTATATATATTTTAATATTTGTACATTATTTATTCATTTTTTACACAACGATAATGAATATTTATTATGTTCCATTGAACGAAGAAAAGATATTCTTTTTTAAATAATATAAAAGCTTTATGTCAATATTAGATCAAAAGTGAAAATATTGAATAATAAAGATGCATTTATTGACCTATATTAGTGAGTTAAATTATAGTTGATTTTATAATTTAAAAAACAAACACTTAGCGATAGATCAATCTTTATCGATTTCATACGATATAATAAGTTAGTTTTCTATATTTTATGAAATTATAGTGCGGTTAACAAATAAGTAAATATCTGTTTCTCAACGATGATAGTTAGAACAAATTAGAATAAATATTTGAGTAGTTGACAATAGTTTCCATTTAATGAAATGTTCTTTCTGTTGTCCTTAAAAATTTTTATCTTTGTGGAAAATTCTTCAAAAAGACGAAGAATTCTCAAAAATTTAGAAAACAAATTTTTAATAGAAAAACTCTTCTTCTTATATGATATCTTTATTCCAATTTGTTCTACCTATAGTTGCTAAGAAAATATATCAAAAACACAACTATGTGATTAAGTCTCTTCGAGATATAGAAATTTCAGTATGTAGGTCGTTTCGCATAGATAGTAGATATAGCAAAGTATTTTTTTTCAAAAGTTTCGAAACAAAGTCATAGATACAAACTCTTTTCCTAGTAAGCATAGTTCACTAAGTCTTGCCTAAAACATCGATCTGACATCTGAAAATGCTTCCTCTTAAGTTATACAAAAACATCAGAAAATCTCATATTGAACAAGATCGATTGAAATTTAATCGTAAAACATTAGTCAATGAACAGGCGAACGATAGTACATGCAGATTCTTTGGACAACATTAAAGAATTGATTGAAACTAATATAACTGCGTTTGATATAAACTCTAAATCTTGAATAATGTGTTTTGCAATTCATTTGATGGTCAATAGTTTCATTGAAATAGGAATAACTTAATTTCAAGCAATTCATAGCATGATTATGCAAATGAATGTACAGCGAAAAACAGAAGTAATACTTAATGTCAAGTAAGTATTGGAAATGATTTTCAATATGAATATACAGAAAACGAACAATAAAACCATACCATTGGACTTAGTCGATGAGTATATTAATATTAATGTAATCAAAAACGAAAATGTTACATCAGGTAATAGCCGACTTCGAAAGAGAATAAAACATCTAATAGTATGCTGAGTATACCAAAAGGATTAGCAACTCTACTTGAATTCTTTATAAAAAGCTTAAAGAAACTTTCTTTCAATATAATCTGATAGTAAAAACCAATGTTCTATTATTTTATGATATTTTATCATTCTTAGACTAATATCATAAAAATATAATTATAAAAAGATCTGTTTCGACATAATGCGTATTTTTTTTCACTTTGTTCTTCTTCTTTCTTTTTTCTCGTACCTTTTAATACTTAACTATCTACATAGACTTACGTATATATGTATTGTAAAGCCGCATGTCTTATTTGCATGTGTAATTTATTAGCATATTCTGAAGAAAGTTAAAACAAATAGAATTCGATTAAATATTGATACTCATCATCTCTGTTTTACATGAATAAGAAAAATTTTCACTTCTAGATTAAAGTATGCACTATCCTTAATATTCAACAAAAATTTATTCATAATGAATTATGTTCTATTTGTGATGATGAAGTTTCTTTTTTTTTTTTAACACAGTTGAATGATGATTTAAATGTATTCGTGATGGTCAATAAGAGACTAAACACGAAGCATAATCTGCTTACTTTTATATTTCGTTATTGTTCTGCAGACACTACTTTTTTGTATATCCTAACATATATCGACAGCTGTGCATTAGAGTGAATAACAAGATGAAAAGAGAATGTATATTAACGACAATATAAACTAAGTTAACCGTCACGCATTATAACCAAATAAATCTTATTGAAATTTGATTATTATGATATTGGCTGAAAAAAAAAGGAATTTATAGTTTATTGAAAGTTTTACATAATAAACAGTAACTATTCCAAATAGATAGTTTCTATCAGTGAGTTATAAATGACTATTTAAAAGCAAAAATAAACTAATATCGCATTGATACCTACGGCAACAAGAATTTTTTTAATATTGAATTTCTTTTTTTCAATATGTATCACTGATAAAAACAATGCTTCACATAAAATTCATAATCAAACAATTAAAATTATCCCAAATACGATAACAACAACAACAAAAAAAACAAACAAACAAACAATGTAAATCTAAACTTATTGTTTTAAATTTTTCATCAATTTAAAATGTCTAAACGATTCTCGAAAATTCCAACGATGTTATTGTAACCAATTATTATCATAATATATTACATAAAATATCTAATAGTTAATAATACTAACTTTTTTTTTTTAAAACTATACCTGTATGTTCGTTAATACAAAAAAAAAATACAGAAAAAAAAAATGAAAGTTCAACAAAAACACAATTAAATGTGTATATATATACGCCAAGAAAACGAACATTCTTTTTCTTTTTGTAGAAAGTTTATTCTTGTAAGAATTCTACATAATTGAACATGCTGATGAATTGAATGGATTGACAGCACCTCTGAAAAAAAGAAAATAAAATTATGATGTGTTTTTAAATCAATAAATTTCTTTAGCGAACACGCAACAAGCTAAAGCAAAAAAAATGCATTCAATATGACAGATAGCCTTGCTGGATAAAAGCAATCTTAGCAAGGATGATTAATCATTCAAGCACGAGATAATATCTTACTCAAATATTTATGGTGAGAGAGGACGATAAGGACCAGTCGATGGACCTTTTATACCTGATCCACTTGTTGAACCAGTATAAGTAGGTCGAGAATAGTTAAGTCCTATTGAAGATGGTTGAACATATGATGTTGATGATATAGGTGGAAGGGAAGATCCACTCGGTCTAGTGTCTGAAGCAAAAATATTTGCTGATGTATATGGATTAGTTTGACTTCTAGGTGTTGTAGAAGTCAAAGATAGTATTGGTCTTTGACGTAAAGTTTCTTGTCGTAAACTCTTTTCTAATTGAGCACGTTGTTGCTCAATATTTTCTTGAATATCATTAAAATCTTGAAGATTTGATGGATAACCACCTGCACGTGGAAGTAAACCAGGGGTTAATAATGTTGGTGTTTGTGATGGCTGAAATGGAATGAGTAAACCATCTGGTGTCAATGGTACAATTGGCAATGATGCCGATTGTTCTATACCATTAGCTAGTAGTAAACTACAAACATCAAATGCTTTTTTTTTCTTATAATATATATCTTATTAAATGATTAGGTAAAGCATAATTTCATTGCATAGATAGTATAATACATCGGTGATTAAAAAGAGCTGAAAAAATGAACTAAAAATTACTTTGGATTTGCAGCTGCAGGTGTTCCAACTGTAGATTGCATTAACTGAAGACCACCGCAACTATCCGATGCGGCTGATGGAATGGGTAAGCCAGTTCGTCCAGCAACAGTCTGGAAGTTATGAATAAATAATTAGATTAGATGTCAATATTATAGGTTTTACTCGTATAAGTGCATGACGAAACATATTTGGTGCTTGTGATTGTGTTCCTTGTATAGCTGGAATAATACGTGATGGTGCATAAGATGGTTGACTTAATGCTACTACAGGTTGATTTGTCATAGCCATTGGTTGACCTTGAATTGATACAACAGCTGGATCATATGGACGTTGATAAAGAATTTGTGGACTAGCTAGAAAACGATCAAACAATAAATTTCTTTATGATTCTTATTGATAATTAGTTAAATTTAACTTACAATTAAATAAATAGCAAAAATCAAAAAAAAAAAAGATTTTCATTAGTAGTCTAAATATAACCATCACCAAAAATATAAATTATTTAATTTAGCTACCTGCGACGGTTGGATTTGGTACTATAAAATTATGAAGTTTTTTGTTTTTGTTTAAATGACTAGAGAATAAAGAGAAAGAAATCTACTTTG